CCCTCCCCCTCCCCCTCCCCGACCACCTCCCCCCCCCCGCCTCCTCCAGCCCCCGGGAGGAGGGGGAGTGGGACTCGCCCTAACTCTGTGGCTCAGCACCCAGTCTGCCCCACTCGCCCGTGCAGCCCATTCCAGACTCTGAACCGGAGCAGAAAGCTGTGCTCATGTCCCCAAACTCCAAGCTGGACGGCACCGAGCTGCTGGCCAAACAAGCCCCTGCGCTTCCCCCTCCGGGTTCTAACCGGGAAGCAGGCCCGGGAGATCCAGCCCAAGGACCCTAAACACTGACTCATCCCAGCTTCCCATGACAAACCTCAGTGCCCGAGTCCTGCACAGCCGTCCTCCACACAGCCCCCCGAGCAGACACGGGCGGCCAGAGTCTGCACCAGAGACGCTAACCCTCCACCACCCCCCAAAACCTGCCCTGGCCGGTTTCGCTCAGGACCGAAGGGTCCCGGGTTCAAATCCGGCCCAGGCACATGCCCGGGTTGTGGGTTCAGTCCCCAGTAGAGGGCGTGCAGGGCCACAGAAAATGATTTTCTCTTACCATTGATGTTTCTATCTCTCCCTCTCCCTCCTTCTCTGAAATCAATAATATATACTTTTTTTTCCTATTTCTTTTTCTTTTCTTTTCTTTCTTTTTTTTTTTTTTAAGAAAAGTAATTTCGCCGAAACCGGTTTGGAAGTAATTTCGCCGAAACCGGTTTGGCTCAGTGGATAGAGCGTCGGCCTGCGGACTGAAAGGTCCCAGGTTCGATTCCGGTCAAGGGCATGTACCTTGGTTGCGGGCACATCCCCAGTACGGCGTGTGCAGGAGGCAGCTGGTCGATGTTCTCTCATCAATATTTCTAACTCTCTATCCCTCTCTCTTCCTCTCTGTAAAAACTCAATAAAATATGTTTGTTTGTTTTTTAAAATAATTTCAATGTGGGGAAGTAAGCTCGGGCAGGAGACAGCTAACGGCAACGGCGACACCGGCGGCTCTGCCGGCTGCTCTGCAGCTAGCGCACGCCGCCCTCCGCGGCCCCGTGAGGGATGCACTGCCCTCTCCTCCGCTCAGAGGCTGAGCCGCCGTCCTGGGCCACACAGCGTGTCAGGTTCAGAGCCAGAACCCGACCCAGTGCTGCCTGCCCCGCCCCACCGCCCTCATGCCCCCCGCGCCCGGCGTCTTTCTGGCATTTAGTTGGCACCTTCTTTGGCACCCAGTCCCAGGCCCAGGGACTTGAGCCCAGGCCACCTTCCGGCTCTCGCTACACTCAGCCCCGCCCCCGGCTCCCCGGCCCCGCCCCCGCGCCCCCCCACGCCCCCTGCCCGCCCCCGGCTCCCCGGCCCCGCCCCTGGCGCCCCCACGCCCCTGCCCCGCCCCGGCCCCCGCGCCCCCCCCGCCCTCTGCCCCGCCCCGGCTCCCCGCCCCCGCCCCCGCGCCCCCCCCACGCCCCTGCCCGCCCCCGGCTACCAGCCCCGCCCTGGCACCCCCGCCCCTGCCCGCCCCCGGCTCCCCGCCCCCGCGCCCCCCCCGCCCCCTGCCCCGCCCCCGGCTCCCCGGCCCCGCCCCTGGCGCCCCCACGCCCCTGCCCCGCCCCGGCCCCCGCGCCCCCCCCCCCCGCCCTCTGCCCCGCCCCCGGCTCCCCGCCCCCGCCCCCGCGCCCCCCACCCCGCCCCCGGCTCCCCGGCCCCGCCCCTGGTGTCCCCCGCCCCCTGCCCCGCCCCCGGCTCCCCGGCCCCGCTCCCGCGCCCCCCCGCCCCCTGCCCCGCCCCCGGCTCCCCGGCCCCGCCCCCGCGCCCCCCCACGCCCCTGCCCCGCCCCCGGCTAACCAGCCCCGCCCCTGGCACCCCCGCCCCCTGCCCCGCCCCCGGCTCCCCGCCCCCACGCCCGCGCCCCCCCGCCCCCTGCCCCGCCCCCGGCTCCCCGGCCCCGCCCCTGGCGCCCCCACGCCCCGGCCCCGCCCCCGGCCCCGCCCCTGGCGCCCCCACGCCCCCGGCCCCGCCCCCGGCCCCCCGCCCCCGCCCCTGGCGCCCCCCCCGCCCCGCCCCCGCCCCCGGCTCCCCGCCCCCGCCCCGCGCCCACCTCAATCTTGCTGTTGTACACCAGGATCTCCAGCACAGAGGCCTCCTCCCCACACGTGTCCAGGGAGGAGAGGTCGTAGAGCGAGGAGTACACGGGGCCGTAGGCCCAGTCCTTGAACTTGCGGGACAGGTGCCTGGTGTCCTCGTCCGTCACCTCCCGGCGGATGATGTGCTGGAAGATCTGAGCAGAAGGAGGGTCAGCGGGTTGGACCCACCCGAGGAGGGGCGCTCCCGGGGGGCCGGGGGCCGGCACAGCCCAGCCATCGGCCTCCCTGAGCAGGCCGGGAGGAGTTTACCCAGAGGCTGTGTGCGGGCCCTTTCCTCACAGCACCTCACCATCGGGCTCACCGACAGCAGCAGAGGAAAGAAGGGTGTCCCCGGCCACAGCAGCACCCCGTGTGTCCCACTGAGGCCAGACCGCACCCGGGCTCCC